AATGTTCAAATACACAAAAATTGAACTTTTCCATGAAAAATCGTATTATTTCGCATCTTTCCGGTCTCGGGGGCAAATATTTGAATATACCATTGTATAGAGAACTAACATAAGAATATATTCCAACAAAAAAATTGTGGTGACATCTGAAGAGTTTTCGAACTTTTTGAGGTTCGAAAATGTTCAAATACAAAAAAATTGAACTTTTTCATGAAAAATCGAATTATTTCGAAACTTTCCGGTCTCGGGGGCAAAGACTTGTATATACCATTGGATAGAATAGAGGACTAACATAAGAATATATTCCAACAAAAAAATTGGTTGGAAAATATTCTTATGTTAGTCCTCCATCTAATGATATATTCAAAACGTTGCCCCCAAGACCGGAAAGATTCGAAATAATTCGATATTTTGTGAAAAAGTTAAATTTTTTCATTCTTGAACATTTTCGAACCTCAAAAAGTTCGAAAACTCGTCGGATGTCACCACAATTTTTTTGTTGGAATATGTTCCTATATTAGTTTTCTATCCAATGGTATATTCAAATCTTTGTCCCCAAGAACGGAAAGATTCGAAATAATTCGATTTTTCATGAAAAAGTTCAATTTTTGTGTATTTGAACATTTTCGAACCTCAAAAGGTTCGAAAACTCTTTGGATGTCACCACAATTTTTTGGTTGGAATATATTCTTATGTTAGTCCTCTATCCAATGGTATATTCAAATCTTTGCCCCCGAGACCGGAAAGATTCGAAATAGTTCGATATTTTGTGAAAAAGTTAAATTTTTTCATACTTAAACATTTTCGAACCTCAAAAATTTCGTCACCCCAATTTTTTTGTTGGAATATGTTCCTATATTAGAGTTCTATCCAATGGTTTATTCAAATCTTTGCCCCCGAGACCGGAAAGATTCGAAATAATTCGATATTTTGTGAAAAGTTGAATTTTTTCTGTATTTGAACATTTTCGAACCTCAAAAGTTCGAAAACTCGTCGGATGTCACCACAATTTTTTTGTTGAAATATGTTCTTATGTAGTCCTCTATCTAATGGTATATTCAAATCTTTGCCCCCGAAACCGGAAAGATTCGAAATAATTCGATTTTTTTTGAAAAAATCCAATTTTCGTCTACTTGAACATTTTCGAACCTCAAAAAGTTCGAAAACTCTGCGGATGTCACCACAATTTTTTTGTTAGAATATGTTCCTATATTAGTCTTCTATCCAATGGTATATTCAAATCTTTGCCCCCGAGACCGGAAAGATTCGAAATAATTCGATTTTTGTTTGAAAAAATTCAATTTTCGTCTACTTGAACATTTTCGAACCTCAAAAAGTTCGAAAACTCTGCGGATGTCACCACAATTTTTTTGTTAGAATATGTTCCTATATTAGTCTTCTATCCAATGGTATATTCAAATCTTTGCCCCCGAGACCGGAAAGATTCGAAATAGTTCGATATTTTGTGAAAAAGTTAAATTTTTTCATACTTAAACATTTTCGAACCTCAAAAATTTCGAAAACTCGTCGGATGTCACCCCAATTTTTTTGTTGGAATATGAAATAAGTTCTATTAGTAGTCCTCTATCCAATGGTGTTTTCGATTTTTTTCCTCTGTGACCGAAAAGATTCGAAATAGTTCAATTATTTCGTATAAAATCACGGCCACACTTCGATATGACATTCGGTACATCTTTTTCAAGATTTGGCTGGAATTTTGCTGGCATTGCGGTGGCCTCCCACAGACACTCATGACCATAATCCAACCGAAAACCAAGCACACTCAGACGACTGCACCCTACCAACCACAGCACACGCTAACAGGCACACCCAGAAGAACAGATCGACAGTGTCACAACGCCCTCAGTGTCTTCAATGTTTCTCAGAACCGTATAATAAGAATTAGCTGTGTACTTTTTCAATCTTCGTTCGGGGCGCATTGCTTCAGCTAAAATTGTAATAAACGATATCGCTACGAAACAAGTTTTTCGTGTTTCACCGTTGTAAATGTTCTACTGTTTTAAAAAAGGTTTTGTGATTAATATATCCTTGCAGATAATTTGCTAACATCCTTTTATCAAAAACTAATTTTAGCCTAATCTATGTCAGCTTTTCAGAACAGATTTTGACTTTTTAGAAAACTCAAAACTATTCCGATATAAATATCGAACGTTTAATTAAAATTTACCTACTTTTCGGAAATATAACTACCGGTAATTACACACAAACAAAACCGAAAACGAGGTAATGTACTATGAGTAAAAACGTGCGGAAGCTACTGTCTGATGCTTCCTTGCTGATAAGCCATTGTTGCGAATAAAAGAAAGACGATGCTAGCGGAGGAAATGCACAGGAAATATTTTCCAGGGGTCGAGAATATAAATCAATTATGCCTGATATACAATCATTTTTAACATATCAGGTGTATGTGCAAATGCTGTTCCAAGCTTCGGAAATTACATTTCGCTCGTAGGAACAACTCTCACAACTACGTTGGCTATAATTCTACCCGCAGTGATTGAAACCTTGACTTTCATGAAAAAGCTGGAACCACATTTAAACCAATAGGAGATTTGGCAGCTGGTGACGCGTCCAGCAATGATGGAGAAAATGAAAGGTATGTGTTGTAATAATATTTCTACCCTTGATTTCTATACCGGAGTGTAGAATATTATCCAGAATAAACTCGATATTTCAGAGTACTGTGTTTACTTCATGAACAAAAAGCAAGATACATTGTATACACTAGGGGCAGGCCAAAGCAAGATAATAACTGCATGAAAGGTCATGAACTCAGGCACTGAATTAAATCAACATAAAATATGCAATATCACTTCATGTGTCAAATAATTATTACAAGGCATCAATTAGATTAGATGCAATTTTAAATTCGTCAAGACTTTGCAGGAGAAAACAGCATCCTAAGAATCGTTTCATTTGCATAGGAATTTTACAGTAAGATTTGTATTTAGAAATGAAGAAAACGAAGAAAGCCTTGCGTACGAAAAGTTGCGGCCATTGGAATTATGCAAAAGCGCATTCATCATAACATTTGGAACTATAGCGGTGTTCGTTGGTTCAGCTGCTGCATTGAAAAACATCATATTCACTATGAAGCATTATAATCCAGAACACGTTTGCAGTGGCGGTGTGGCAGCATTGAAAAATACGTATACGGCTTGGTGTGGATGTCTAATTAGCATTCAGTAGTCTATTTTTTCATCATGCTGATAATACGTACTAGACATACGAATCGCAATAAATTATGAAAAAAAAAACGCATTTCAGGGCGAATAGAGAAGTTAGACTGAAATACCGGTAATATAATGATAAAATGGCACGACGTAACTTGGTCATTTATAGGTAGGCTAATATAAATGATGAAATATGCTGACTAAACGATTGCATAGATCTCAATTTATTGAATACAATGCATGACTAAGTTACTTCGTATCGAAAACACGTGATTTGTTCCTCCAACTCCGTACTAAGACTTTGAAGAATGTTTTTTCCGTGACATCTTAACGAGCTAGGTTGAAATGCTCATATACATTTCAACCACCATTACACCCTTTCATGCAAGTACGCTGAAAGCATGGCCGCGAACCCTCGAATACCCTCGTTGGTTTACGATAATTGTGGCTCTACTGGTCGAGCGATGCATGTGTTTATATAGCACGCGCTGTTTTTGTATCGCTAGATAGCGCCTCAGCGCTTTCTTGGAAACACAGATGCGGGAAATCCAGTCAGAAATTTCGTCTGTCGCCTGCTTCGCAAAAATTCCACTAACAAAAAAAGAAATAGGTAATCGCGTTATATCTGGCTAATAACAGAAAGAGAAAGAACATTAGGCGCATCCTATCTTGAGAAGACAAAAGTAGTTTGCTGAATTCAGGTAATTGATTTCTAACACCAGAGTCGTCCATCTGTTTAGTCAAGGCAAGAGTGTCAAGTTGTACGCTTCCCCGTTGAAAAGAGCCTATCGCTAGACTACATTATGCATTTACATTACATGGTATTCCATCCAATAATACACAATCTCTACGGCAAACTCTGTGCTCAGCTTAGGCCGTACCGGTATCTGAAGTAAATTGTTGCAATATGTCGTTTGTGGTATTCAAGAATAATTTGTGAGGACTTGGCCTAAACTCAAATACATTCTCTTTAAAGTTTTAAACCATACTAACGTTCATTGTTGAAGGTTGAACACAATTACTGTATGATCGTTCAGCACTTTACGCCATTAACCGTCTAAAGCAGACTAGAAGATTTTGCAAGCACCTGTAGTTTGATTTTTGTAGTCGAGGATTTGAAATACGTTTATGCTCCTTTGTTTTAACTGCGCAGTTTTGCGTATGCTTGATAGAATTATAAAAAATACAGTGTCATGTCAAAACGACCCCAGTCACGTATAATCGAATCTTTTCATTAGGATGTTACCCAACGTTGTCTGATATGGGAGAACCACTATGCCAATGCCAGGAACGCATTCCCTATGCTGAATTGAGAAATCTCGACCTCGCTATTTTGCGAGCCTTAAATGTTAAAAGAGAATTTTGTTCAATAGCTTGTCGAGAACATGTGGAGGAAAGTCACTCGGCGAAAACTCAGAATTGGCGCGAATAAAATTCTGTCAAATTTTTACGAAATTTAGTGAGTTCCAAATTTTTTTTGCAAGAAAGTTGACTTCCTCACTAACATATTATTGTTTGCGATTTGATTACAAGGTTTCTATAGATCATCGAATATATGCAGCACTGCGCTAATCAGAGATTCAATGATACAGATACATATATACTGTTGGAAACGAAGCGGTACTTTCTATAATGTACAAATTTTGTTTTCTATAATACAACGGAAATTGAACAGGATAATTATTTTATTACGACTTCAATTACAACTATAAACATAAATTTTCAAACATGATTTGTAGAAGAAAACGCATTTCAGTCATAATACAAATCAACTGATTCTACTTCAGCGTATGATCACCACCATATGTAGCGGGAGGATAGACCTCATGCTAAAGTATTGCCAATCAACTTTAATATCTATAATAGACATATCCTATGTTAAATCCCTCGCCACTAAATGTTGAGTCCGAATATAGCCACATTGTTGATCTAGTATTGTGAATGCTTATAGATGAGTCACTATGATATCCATTTCCCGTTAAGGTATGTCTAAGATTTGTAGAGTCAACGCCAAAAAATTCGTAAAACTTTAGAAAATCGGAAGAATCTAAATCCAACTTGTAAACTATAAATTCAATCCTATAGTTATTTGCATTCCCATGAAAATACCAATAATAGTCGACGCCATTCGGGTATAAGCCTGGGTATCCCGGGGATAATATAATCTTTTGTTGGGAATTATAATAGTAATATTTGTCTGTTTGGTACAAATTGTAATAAACAGCATTGCTCTCAATGGTGGCATTATAATATTTCATTAAGAAACCAGATCTTGTAACTGATCCATCAGTAGTAAACATCATTGTTAAAAACCGCCCAGTAGTTTGACCGTTGAATCCTTCACGATAACCGCTCAGCTGCACAATTAGTGATGAATTAACGGAATTTCCATCATATATATCCAAATGATCACAGCATGACTCCGTATCAAATGTTTTGAATTCAAAATAGACAACTCCACTTGGAACCTCGATGCTGTATATTTCAGAATACATGTTTGGATATTCATTTGGATAGTTAGGAGACATGACTGTTTCGGAACACACAGAATTTTCACAAAATGTATATTTCAATTTGAAAAATCCATTTCCTGAGTTATCGCTGTCACTGCTGTTCATTTTTATCAGCATTTGAGAATCATAACTTCCTATATACATGCCGTTGCTACAATTATATATATCGCAATGTGCCAGAACCACATCAGTCGAGTTGCCATCATAAAAATCCAACGAATCATAATATCCCAGAGATATCGCGTCAATGTAAACGGAGACAGTGTATTGCTGGGGTGCTTGAACCAGCCATTGGCAGTCGCTTCCTGTAGGATAGTAATTCGGATAATATGGCGAAAGTATTACATCGGGTGCTGAAGTAAGTGTTTCAAAACAGTTTCGGCTTAGTTCTGACGTGACAGCATTGAATCGAAAGGCATATTTAAAGGAATAACTGAACCTTAAGTTCAAACTCACGAAAACGTCGCTGGACGAGGATACAAAACTAATTCCATCGGTAAATAATGCATTTGTACCAGACCACAATATATCATTAGACTTTGATTCTCCATCATAAACTGTAAAAGTACCGTCATACGAACGAAATACATCAATAATAAAATTGACATGAAATCCGTCGTTGACTCTTATCAACCAATAGCAATCGCTGTAGATATATGTGTTGCTGGGATAATCAGGATTCATTACAAGACCTTCTTGCCATTCCAACGTTTCATCCATGGATTTTGAAACCCGATAAACCTTATAATTAATTTTGAAACCAGAACTTGATATGGAATCATCAGAGTTGAATATTAAAGAAACTGTATTACTATGTGAGATGTACTCCAATTTTTCCCCGCCAATTCCAGAAACTGATTCTATTAGCTTCCATTCGCTGGGTATGTTATTATCGATTATGATCAGGGTGTCGTAAACTGGTTCTAAGTTCAAAGTTTCTATTTCAACACGAATTACGTTATCTCCTGTAGTTGATATAGTCCAATTAATATTCATATTATTGCCATAGTTTTCTGGAAAGTTGGGTGACGTTAGCGTTTGCCAATTTGTGTCATCTGCATTCAAACTTATGTGGTGCGATTTTTGAGTTTTCGAGTAAAAATATGCATTAAAACCACGCAAACTTACGCGTTTCTCCAACGTTGAAAACGACAGTAGAAGTTTATTAGCAGTTGATTCGTACACTCCAGCGTAATTGTAGCTTGAATACATGTTTACATCTACAGTACGCAACTTCCAAAGAAGTTCACCATTGGAATCGTCATGAACACGCAGTTCTTCGCCATACTGGACATTAAAATTTAAGATTTCCAAAATAATGAATGTACCAGGGGATGAAGTGATTTCCCAGGTTAGAAAAGATGACGGTGGGTAGGTAACGGGATAACCCGGACTAGAAATCATTCCTTGGTCCTGAAATATTGAGAATGTTTCGTTTCTTGGCATTTTCAGTGTTAGATTTTTCATATCGGTGTCCGTATCGTCGTTCGTTAAATCCAGCATGAAATCGGAAAAATGCAAAGAAAATCCACCATCTTTTTTCAAACGATCACTTCGAAATTCAATAAGAACGGCTGACCCCGATGACCTGAACGAGTCTCCATCATGTTCTTCGCCAGTAAGCGTGGCAATGAGAGTCGATGAAGCGCTTGTGCCATCGTAGATATATAATTGATCACAGCAGGCTTCCGATTCATAACTCATTATCTCAACATCAATAGAAGAATTCTCCTTTTCTGTATCTGCCACCAAGACATAAAAAGAACCTGTGGTCCAACGAGGTATCAACGTTGTTACAAACAAAATCGAAAGAATAAAAAAGCTGACGCAAGACATCCTCGGCTTATTGTGCGACGAGGCGATATGTGAAAACTTACTGAAAGCCTCTCTCATTTATATATTCATTTTGCCCAGATAAAACACGCGCAAAAAGAATGATGTAGATATCATCGTGTTACCGTGTATGATGAGTTAGGAGTACTAACTCCAAAATTGGAATCCAAGATATATTCTTATCAACAGCTGATTCATTCCCAGGCCTAATGTGTTTGCAACGTGACGGAACACAATGTAATGTATTTAAACAACATGGTTCCAACAGGAGATGATTAAAATTGAAGCAAAAACACCACCCACGGATATTTTCACCAAGAGCTTTCGCACCTGTTGGCATTTCCACCCGTAGATATTTGCGTTCGCATACGTTTTCATCTTGTTTTTTTTCAAGTCGAGGTTATTCTATGTTTTCTTCTTATCTACGTGCATTTATTATTCATTCGTGCAGCCATCGTGCACAATTAGTAAACCCATTCATGGGTGGAAACACCCACGGCTGAAAATTTACCTGACTGCAATAATCCGTGAGTGCAAATGTTAGTGGGTGTTACTGTTAACATTCATTGTTCCAAACATACTAGGTGAAAATAACTCTAGCTCAATTCATACCGTATGTGTTTTTTTCTCGTTGAATAAAAGTCCCAAAAGCCATCACTGCCTATATATAAATATGCCTACCAGAACGTAAGAGTAGCCTACCGTAAGAATTCTGTATGTCTAGAACACACATCACATTCAATTGCGACCGATAACAATTTCGTACACGCTGAAGATGACAACACGAATAATTTTCCCTTCATCCGAAGCGGACACAATTAAATTACTATCGGGCAGATTTCAATTACCGGATCATGATGAAATATAAGCTAATCATCGAAATAATTTGAGATTTTTCCAGCGATGATATAATTATTCCAGAAGTCTGGTGACAGCACTAGAAAAATCTGGCCGTTTGCTACACATGTTTTCGTCGGTGACCGTACATTTGAACCCACGTACATTTGAACCCATGTGTATATCCACGGGTTCAATCCATATGCGGGTGCTAAAACCCATGGGTTAGGGTTAGTATGGGTTCAACTATCCGTGAAACAAACAAAAAAATTCATAGGTACAATAGCATACAGGTGCAATTGTCATGGGTTCAAATGTACGTGGGTTCAAATGTAATGGAACCGTTTTCGTCAAAAGGCCATTGTTTTGTCGTTCAATTCTCAAATCGTGCACGCTGTTATGTGGAAATAAAAGCGATATAAATTTACATACTCTGGGTCAGTGGTTCCCAAACTGGGGTTATAATGGAACGCTGGTCTATGGAAAGGCTGGTCGTGCAGTGTTCGCATTTAATCAGAGAATATCGTTACAGCGAAACGAGAGCAGTAACTGTGGCTGGCGAGACACAAAAACAATGCTTTGCCGTACATGTCCTGGGCAAAATGCATAGCGAATCCAAGCTCAGCATCCAAAAACTGGATTGGAAGGAGCAATAGGCGACAGTATTATCGACATTTTTGTTGAAACAAAGAGTAATTAGTGACAACGATACTACAGGAGTGGTGATTACTCTACGGCCCATGAGTCGGGGCCACGGGCCATCTAATTGGGCCATATGGGCCGTGGCTCCATCAGGAAAAATTCAATTATCTTACCAAAATTTTCAATTTTTACAAAATTGTTAATATTCGAACCTAAAAAATATACTCCTGTAGTATGTGTACCAGGTTAGGGTTAGTACAAAATTTTGTTCAGATTTTTCACATTATAGTTCTATTATGAGTTCGGGGACTGCCTCCCCCCCCCCTACAAAACTTGATTGGTCGAGTTTACAACATTGTTGTAAACTGCTTGTCTGAGGAAGTCTGATTTTGGTCAGACGAAACGTTACAGAAATATATTTGTGTTAGTGTGCAGCAGGACTGTAAATATTGTTTATAAATTGTGACTTTATATGTCACACTTATATGGCCCGCCAGTCTAAGTGCGCAAAATTTTTGGCCTCTGGTGTAAAAACTTGCCCACCCCTCTTCTAGATAGTTTTTAAGCTTAGCTATAGTACCACCATGATGAATGAGAAGACACATAAAAAAAAAACAAATTTGACAATGATGTTATATTGTTCATTAAAATAAAACCTGAGACACATTAAATATGTATATTATAGTGCAGCATTGTACAATGGGCCAGCAAAAGAAACTGACCATCTGCAAAAATGAGTACATTCTAGGTAAGTTGGATAACTTACTCAGACGTTACACCAAATATTGCCAAGCAGCTGTGAAATAAATGGATTGAAGAACTTTGCTCAATTAACATTCATTAGGACTGCAACTTGAAATAAAAATTGATGACAGCAATGATAAAATGAGGTTGAAATAAACTGCACAATAAATTTGATCTAAAAACGAGTGTAATTTCGAAATAGTTTGAAGATATCAAAAAAAAACATAATTTTGCAATAAAATCTGGCAAGCTAAGCAAAGTAAATTAACTTGAATGGCATTTCATTATTCGGAAATCTATTTGTACATAATTGCATACATATGATTGAAACAAAAATTTCATCTTTTTAAATCTGGATACCCATTTTAATCCATAGGATTGATAAAAAAGGTAAATGAACTGACCTCTTTATGGCGTTTTTTATTCGAGCTATATTATTATATGAACATAAATTCGAGCTGATCTTAACATAATAAAACAACAGAAAAAAAACTAGGCTACATCGCTCATTCAGGATTGCAAAAATATTTCCCATGCTCAGCATAGAAAAACTATGGATAACTATAGATCTCTTTATAAATTGTCATTGCTTTTATTCCATTTGTAAGTTCCTAATGTTTTGAAGAGTTGGGTATTGTTAATTAAAATGGATTCAATCAAATAAAAGAAAATAACTAACTTATAAAAATGCATGAAGATGAAGGTATATTTATTGTAAAATTCATCATATACTGTTAGTTAGACCATCCGAAGTGTTTCACAAAACATAACATGAATATGGATAATTCTGAACTTCACTGATGCAATACTAATTATCACATTGCAAACAGATAACGAGTGCAGTTTAGATGTTAAAGCATTAACACCGAATCGCAGTCATCTAGGAGTGGCAATAGACCTAATTTTGTTAAGTTTGTCAAGCTCGAATTCTAATAGTTAGATCACAATAATCATACTAACAAGATGATAATGCCGTAATTCACGAGTTAAATTTCCAAACAAAAATTGCAGTCACATATTACACATAATGAATGGTGGATTTAAACATCTTTAACTTAAATTTTAGAAAAACAAACTGTAAAACAGCAACGGGACAAAATTGGATGACCAGATCATCTCAGAATTGTACCCGTGGAAGAAAATCCTAAACGTCAAGTTTACTGCAATTTTTCTCTTCATATAATGAATAAATTAAATGATTAATTGATTGAAATTTGCATATTTTAAATGAACATCTTTAATAATTGATGATTAAGTTCCTGCTTCAATGCTTCAAAACAAACAAAAAAGGTCAATTGAAAATCAATACTGTGTAATGGAAAATAAACAGGCAGACTGACATTAGGCAATAATTACTTTGAACTATTTTCAATGTTATTGAGCATAGACATAACATACTTTCACCGGCGCTCCAGTGTGTGTACCAATATGGAGGCAACTAATTTTTTTCGCCTACTTTACATCAAGTTGTGTAAAGGGAAAGAAGCCTACGGGCAGGGGGCATATTCACTTGGCAATACAGACAGTCCTCAAACTCGTAATAGAACTAAAATAGGGAAAATTGGAATAAAATTATGGCCTAACCCTAACCTGGTACATACACTATGGGAGTACACCTATGTATTAAATGTGAGGAAACATTTCTGAATAAAACAAATCATGAATCCCACAAGATTTTGAGTAATTTTAATCTGCATGTAATTTTTCTAAATATCCAAAATTTACAATGAACGTTACTGTGATAGATAGGATGAATTTAAATCTGCCAAGAGCAGTTATGCAATATGTATTGCACTATGATGTCATAGACATATACCACTAAACAAACTAGTAATATAAAATATCATGATATTCGACATACACATTATATTTAGCATTGCTTTATGAACAGCAAGTATTCCATGAATGAACTGTTTTCGTTTTCGAGTTTAAATCAATATTTGACCCTTGACCTGACAAATCTAAATCAGAGTGTTTTATTAACAATTCGGCGGCAACTCGTCGGAAAACACCTTCAATGTTATAATTGTCTTTTGCAGATGTTTCAATATATTCCAGCATTCCCCAGTACTCACCGACACTTTGAGCTTCATTAGAATCTACAGCACGAGCTTCTTTCAAATCTGTTTTGTTTCCTGTGATAGAAATAACAATTTAATTGTTTGCATGTTATCAATTTTATCAAAATATAGTTAAGGGTTTAAGATTATTCCTTTGTGACATCATAATTTTGAATAGTTATTTTGTCATTGTTTGTCAACTTCTGAGCAAGAGTTTATGATTTTGCATACAGTAAATGGTAATAACAACCTAATTTTTTCGCATCATATCAAAAGTACCAAATTTGCAGGATTATTTATCAATCCGATAATCCAAATGAATTGTCTGAAATGCCTTACCTATTAATATTTTTGTTACATCCGAAGAGCAATACTTTTGTATATCTTCCATCCATCTAGATACATTTTTAAATGACGATTCCTGAGTGACATCAAATGCACATAATACTCCATTAGCACTGCGATAATAGGATTGGGTGATTGTGCGAAATCTTTCTTGACCGGCAGTATCCCAAACCTATCATTTAAAAGGGTTAAAACACTAATTTCAGAATTTAGGGTTTGTTCCTGTAAATAAAGGAACCGGTACAATACGGTACCGGTACACTTAAATCTGTAAATAGCTGAATAGTGCTGTAGTGCGGTTACGGTGACATATCAACCACGCTAGGCTAGAATTCGAATACAGGAATAAGTTTCACCTGAAGTTTTATTTTCTTTCCATCTATTTCCACCGTTTTCATACAGAAATCAACGCCAATGGTGCTTCCCTGCATTTCTAACCAAGTACCAGTCTTAAACCTTTGTACAATGCAGGTTTTTCCAACGCCTGCATCACCAATCAAAACGATTTTGAAAAGGTAATCAAACGGATCAGAATCACCCAGCGCCATATTGCTACCGTAACCTTACCGGTACCGGTAATTCAGCAATGCAAGTAGTAAAAAAGCCTCTTGGGCTGGTGTCGCGAGCTTCGACTTTTTGACTAAATACGGTATGGTACGCGGCGGTAGTAGAAACAAAGTCGTCAACTGCTGGTTCAATACTATGGGTCAGACCAATGACATTAAACAACATGATGCGCAACTCCGCCATTTTTGGCCGAAGATCGTATCCGATAGCACGCTCCAATGCACATACTTGACGAGACGAAAACGAGCGGGATGTGTGCTGCTTTCAAGGAATAGCACGAATGGTGTTCGTGCCTGCTTTGACAGTTGTTGTCGATTTTAATGATATTTTGTAAAGTTGAGGTAGAAAGAAATTGGAAAAAGGTAAGGTAAATACTATTGTTGTATATCACACCCGGGCATCGCACTGTTTAGTACATGTGGGAAAGCCAGCTTTTGTCAAATACTACGAAGTTATTAATTCAGTACGGTACGTAGTTGTCCATTTGCCGAAATTGCATATTTACTTACCCCTTATGGTTTCAAATAGTTCATGCACCTCCAGTTAGATTTTTCAATCAGTGAGGATATATACTCATTGCTGTAACATACTATTGCTCAATAACTTTTATTTGCGTATTGAATCAAAGGGTTAACAAGTTCACCTAACATTTTACTCACACCGGTCTATATTGTATAGTCTGACCTCTCAAGTATAAGAATGCTTGTAATTTTCTGACTAATCCCTTTTATTAGTTGGTTTATATACCAAATTCAGTAAAACATATTTTACATAGACATGGGATATTGGATTTATTAGCTTTTCCATTCTAAATCATATAGACTGCTTTATTTATTTTTAACGAAAATTAATAAATCTCCTCTCTTTCTTCAGATGTGAATGTTGTGGAAAAACCTGTCTAAGCATTGTGAGACTCCTGCAGCACAAGCGGCAATAGCAAAATAACATAACGACATAAAGCAAAACTTTCAACTATTCGTCTAATCTCAATTTCCTATTATTTATTCACAGGACAACTGTAGCAGAAGGGGAGATATCAGAAGTCTGGCGACATATCAGTGACAGTGTGATTCCAAGAAATATAATTAGAATACTCCATAAATGTTTGCAATAGAAGAACAACCTATGGAGGCATGCAAATGCATTTGACCCTCCGGTAGAGTTGTGTATGGCCCCTACATCCTGCAAGGCTTGAGGAAAATAACTAAAAATTCAATGCGTAAGATTGCATAAGCGGTCTTATTTGTGAAAAAGCACAAAACATGCCAGGCATACTTAAAACAGCTTTGAAAAATGAGGATTCGGGTCACTCACTACACCTGTGTTATATTTGGTCATCAACTTTTGGTAGTACTGTAGAAGAAATTCAGGAAAGGGTATAATCATGATTCATGATAATACTGATATATATTTTGGACAACTTCAATCTAGACCAAACTCGCGGCCCCAGAGAACTTCCAGTGCGGCCTCGAACGCTTAATAATAATTGTAAAAGTATTTTGGAAGTTTTTTTTATCTAAGTGTAACAGATTTTTCAAACTTTTAAAGTGAAATTGAATATTCACACAGAAAACAATTTACTGAAAGTAGTTTTAAAAAATTAATTTTTTTGTTCACATTTTAACCCATTTAAGAATACACATCAAGCTAGCAAAAGAATACTTGAATAAAACACTTGAGTGATTAATTAAACGCAAAGTACATGAAGAAGGTGGAATTTTCGAAGAAAATGGGAGTTGCAATATTTCTGCATTTCACAAAATTCTCTGAAGCACATTGTTTAATTTGTCATATTTCCATCAGTACAATGAAAAAACACAATGAGCTTAGCAGTCAATATGACAAATTCGAAGACCAACTTCGAACAGAAAATTTCCCATGTGTTTGTATATTAATATAATTATACAACTTAGTTACTAAATATCAATAATAATTCAAGCAATCCTATGCCATGCAATGTGGCGCGAAATGTCTTGTCGAAAAAATCTGTCATTTGTTTTTTTACTGATCTATACATGAAATGATAAAAGTAACTTTTTTGCATTACTGGAATTAATTAAACATTCGCAAAGATCCAGATTAACCCATGATCATGTGACCTCGTTAGTTAGAGTTGGTACTATAAAATATTTCATCCTGGCCTTAGTATGCTGGTGACACAAAAAAGATGCCAAACGTCAGGACAAATGTAATTAAAAAACATTGAGTTTATATTGTAGTATTTTTGTTAATTTTAGGTTCATATATTTAGATTAAGTCATTTTTTAGTGTATGTATTATTCTTTCCTTATCCAAAGCTTGTTCAAAAATGATTTTGATGGTTGTACATAGAATTTTATGATTTTTTGTAATAAATACAGTAACTTGCAATAATAGTGGAATGCAAATATTAACATGAAATTGCATTTGAAATTAAAGAAAATAATAAAACTTAATCCAACTGTTTAGTTGCATCCAATATATGTCACAAACTAAAACTATCTTGAAAATATCTTTCAAGTATACATTATCAAAAACTGTTTGCGGCCCTTTTTACAATTTCCAACATGCAATGCGGCTCTCGAAAACCCATGAGTTTGACACCACTGATCTATTCTAGACAATTCAAGCATTGCTTTGGGAAATAATATCACTTCAATTAAATTGAAAAAAATTGCCGTATTAAATACAAAATCGTTGCTATCATAAAGGTAAACCAATTCAGCCACTGGAATATATTGGCCTTCACAAAGCAATGGAGGCAAAATTGAGAGTTCATGAGCTATGAACTTTTGTTCTTTTCTTTGTCTTGAACTTTTCATACTCCACAGCCCCTATTATTTTTTTTTTTTTTAATTACCATGTGATGGTCATACATATCTTTAACTTGTATTTTCTGTAATGATGTATTATCTCAATGTGTCAAACTTTTAATTAGTGTGCATATTTTGCTTCCAGATGACATAAATGTATTGTCTTGTTTATTACCTCAGCTTGGAGTATTGACAAGAAAAAGGTGCCAGTAAATTCTTTGTTATAATCAGAATTCACAATTAATAGGAATTATAAACAGCCACCAATCAATGAGAATTACATGCGAAATCCCTCACAATAAATTTGTCCAAAAAATTCACCTACTAAGGCAAGTTTGATAGGTGCAAACTTTGTGTTATGGAATTGTATCACAGCACCGTTAAGAGAAGTAAAAACAGTTTTGCTGTTTTGTATGACACCCTCTTTAAATGAAATTTCAATGTTTAAGCGCAAACATTAAAATTACTACCTTTGAACTTTGTCATTATCTGCAAAATGTCCCACACAAATCTTTACGCTATCGCGTTTGTAATCTTCTCTGATAAAAAAAAAGTCTATGATGTCCATTTTACTCTTTACAGCTTGTATGTCATTCCAGCTTTCCAAGTGAGCAAAACTTCTTAGATATAGAGATTATTTTCTTACGTTACAGGCGCAAAAAGGCAGGTACTAAACGTAAAGAGGACGCCGATTAGCAAAAGCAAGCGGAAAACGGTCGCGAAAGGCGACGAGAAATATGTGCATTGGAGCGTATCATGAAATACAATCTTTCGCATGTAGTCTTATGGAGTGACGTCAGAGTTGCCTATCATGTTGTTTAATGTCATTGGTCAGACAAACAGCATATCCATCATTAGAATTCGCTCACCATCAGTATTCACAGGTTCAAAACGATCAGAACAAAGAGAAGTAGATTACAGTTCACGTTATACCGTCAGAAGCTAGGTCGCGAATAAGGAGATACGCCACGGTACCGACCGGTTGTGCGACTTAGAGCTGTGCAAAATCTGACGGTTTGCGAGATTGAGTGACTTATCAACATACCGAGGAAAAATCTCAAATTTTTAAATTATTAGACACAGATGCATCATTAACTTTTACCATCCTACATAATTCCCATTGCCATCGTACATTCCATTACTTTAGCATCAGTACCGTGTTTCCCCGAAAATAAGACTGGGTCTTATTTCAATTTTCTTCCGAAAAATAAAAAAAAAACTAGGGCTTATTTTCGGGGGATGACTTATATTTTTATTTATCAAAAACAAAATTACAAAGTAATGAATTACGAGATTTTCAAATATACAAAATATGAATACAGATATCCGTTTACTTATAAATAACACGTTTTTATTCAAAATATATTCAAAACTGCAAAACATATATTATCAATCATTTAAAACGCGTAGGAGAGATTTCTTGCTATGGACTGAATGAAAAAAAAAATTCGCGTAATTGACTAGGTCTTATTTTAAGGGAGGGCTTATATAAAAATCATTTTTAAAATTCAGGCTAGGTCTTATTTTCGGGGAAACATGGTAGTATCAATTTCAATTAAAATAAAGCTTTGAACCATTAAAATATACATCATTCTTTTTGACAAGAACTTATTACTTATCGATTTTAATCGGTAAGTATGTTGATAGGTATTTGTCTGTCTGTCTGTTAGATGCACGCGATATCTCACGGAAGCGAGATTGAATCTGCTCCAGATTTTGCATGTGCATTCATAATATCTCGGATCAAACGCCTATTGATTTTGGACGAATTATGTGGTATATTTAGCGAGTTATTAATTAATTAGTGATGAGACACAAGGTGTCACTATGGAGTAAGAGCGCTGTTTTGGGGGATCCCCTAACTTTCGATCGAGAAGTCTTCGGTCTCTGACCGATATTCTCGTCCATTTTTTTGTTGACAAAAAATCGTCTTTGAAATTTGTAGTAGTTAAAAATTGCTGAAGCCACTAGAAGGCTATTTTTTGTCAATTTTATTTAAGTCCTATATGACGAAGTATTTCACCCAAAATTTTAACGTTCCAGTTTTAGTTAAAGAGGAAACAGCATTTTTCTATTCAGCTTATCTTTTCAGCAAAGTCAGTGCCCCGACCCCTTTTAAATTTGGCATTATTAGCGACTTCAGTGTTGATATATTGAGCATTGCATTAATGGGACCTCCTGAAGTATGCGCACCAAGATGGCGCACAACCTGACTCAGGTTGTGTACCATGTTAGGGTTCAGGTTGTGCGACATCTTGGTGCGCATACTTCAGAAGTACCCATTAATGTTTTCAAGAGGACACCCAAAATTATAAGTTCATTTCAACATCGGAGAATCAAGAAAGTGAATCTATCTGAAGTTTCAATCGAAACGCCGCAGAATGGTGAGATTAAAAACCAACAGATTTGTAAAAACTATTTTCACACACTGCCATATTCTATGATCATCTTTTTTCCCACTCGGCTAACTTTTACCTGCATTTTTGTTACCAAAAACGGACCATGTTTCTAGAAAAAATTAAATTTTATGTCAGGATTGTTATTATCCAATTACACCCCTCTCCTTATTAAACTAAGATATCACTTTCTACTTCGTTCGGAACTCTGAAACAAATAAACCTTATTTTGCTGCAGAGTTTTCTATACCTCGTTGCGATTTAGGTAATCCAATAATACTCAATGGGGCAAAATCTAGGAGGTGCCCGAATTAAAACTGCCTATACGTCCCCAAAACCCTCTCCCAGAAATTCCTCAAAATCCCTAATTTAAAAAAATAGAATAAAAGTTTACTGCATATAATTTATTCACTTATCGAATATTTCATTTTTTGAACGAATTGAGGATTTTGACACCTTTGTTGAACCCTGAAAAGGTAGGTACGGCATCATCTGGCTGTGAAGACATCCAAAATATATTCTCTCTTCACATGTTTTCACCAGAAACATAGTCACTCACGACTTTGAAGACATAGAGAACGTATGACCATAAAAACAGCCACACATCAACCAAACGAACATAAAGAAGTTTGGCATTTTCAACTACAGCGTCCCTCACGCAACACCAACCCATTTCACCTCTGAAAAACAATGATTTTAAATAGACATTCACGAAAAACTTTAATAGAAAAATATTTAGAAATTTCCTGATTCATGTGAAATAGAACTGAAAAAATTGTCTGCTTTATGACAATTGCCAACAATGGCAAAAAACCTGTAATCAAATACCAATATACAAAATGTCTGTCTGTCTACTATGGGAAAATATGACAAAACATACCTTATAAAAGAGTAAATTGCAAGAGCTTTTGCATCAATCCAAGTCTGTAAAGCAAGCAGTGATGGCCTCAATTCTACTGATAGCTTGTTCAATGCTATTGTCAACTTTTGTAGAAAACTTTCACACTGTTTAAGCAAAACGTTCAGTTACTTCACGAATTGATATATAATACAAGACATATGCTATTTTTGACATATAGTACGTACGCTGCCCGTATGATGTCCATATATAAAACAAACAATTACTGTAAAATATTACTGTATAATTACTGTAAAATATATGTGATGTGCTTGATCAGCAATACTATTTTTTCCAAAAATTCGCAAAGGTATGAAAATTTGAGACCAATGGATAAAATCAGTAGAGTGATGAATTGGAACCAAAAAAAATTCTTCATCCAGAGATATGACAAACCTACCAGAACCAAGCCTGCTTTCGTATATTCTCCAATAAGAGTTCTCAATGGTGCAGTCACTTCTAAAAGCCAAGTGATGAAATTTTTGAGCAATGCAGCAATATATGAGAAATACGGACCCAGTATATCAGCAGTACGGTTCCAATAGTACGGTACATTATCTTGCAGCCACCTGTAAAAAATAGAAAACATATATATCAATTTTAAGCGCACCTATTCACCCAGCAGAATACAAACGGAATACTGTCCTTTGTTAACAATACTAGGAAACATATAATACTGGTATATAAAAATATCAAATTTAATGTGAATTGAAAAACAAATGTGGGAACAGCCATTGATATTTCCTATTCCAGATATTCAGGTATTGCTAGAATTGAATTTTGCTTGTCATACGATTAATTTAATGGGCAGTGTAATAATTTAAACAGTATATTTTTTCCCTCGGCACAATACAACAGAAATATGTATTTAGTCAACAATAAAAAAAACACTTTAATGGAATGAACTTTTTAAAATGTAGGTTTTTTTTTGACAATTTTTGACAAAAAATGTGAAAAAATTTGAAACTGATACCCTAATCAATTTCAATTTTTCAGCAGAAACTGTTATTTCCCCCAAAATTTCGATATTTTAGTTTTAGGATTCCTTTAATGAAAACACTTGCCCACAGATCTTTTCAGCAAACTCAGCGCTCAAATATTGGTACCGATGCACTGTTTTATGGCCAATATATTTTGAGCATTGCTCTGTAGTTTTCAAATAACTTTGTGTACTCACTTTGTAACATGCTGCAACACAGTTGAAATTTTCGCCCAAATTTGATTGAGGAATTTCAATGTACCGGTATCATCCAAAGTCCTATAGGTGACAGATTTATAAACTCCACCTTGAGTGCGAACGTCATACATGAAAAAGCCAACTGCGATAGCAGTAAGTGCGATCAAAATAGGAAGAACTATATGAGTGCAGGTTGAGAGCGTCCGGCTTGATTTTCTTTCAAGTTTTTGATTCATATGCTGAAATAAAGGGAGAATGTTATGAATACATCCAGACTAGAGTACTGGTTGCCACAGATAACAGTATGAATTGAATGAACGGTACTCCCATAGTATGTGTACCAGGTTAGGCCATAATTTCATTCCTTATTTTAGTTCTATTTCGAGTTTGGGAACAGTCTGTGTTAGGCAAGTGAATATACCCCCTGCCCATAGCAATCAGTCCCTATACACAACTTGATGTAAAGTACGCGAACAAAATCAGTTACCTCCATATTGGTCACATACTTCTGGAGCGTTGGTAATTTGAATGCTAATTCTAATCATCCAAAATGAAATCATTGGAAAACAGCGTAAGCTTCACTGAAACACTTTTAATTTGACAAAGCATAGCCTTAGATAACTGCACCCATGGTTTGCTTTTAACGAACGTATAAAAATCATAGGATAATCGAGAAAATCATGAAATCTACCATGCATAACCTATTCACAGGTTTAAAATCAGATACAGATGTCATCGGCGAAGACTTGGCAGCTTCGTCAGAATTAGTAATACAGAAGGCACGAATTGTTTCCATAAAATGTTTTGGTGGTAACTTGTAAACAGCTTGAACCCAATTTTCTTCCAGATATTCCAGCAGCATCCTGAGAAAAGTTACCATAATAAGTCTATCTGTGTAGTACATTATAGGAAAAATCACAAATATACATGGAATAAAAAATGAATATTAAAGCATTTGAGAGAACATAACTTTTGTGCAAAACCTCCTAGATTACTGACTGAAACTTCCGGGTACAATTATACACAAACAGAAGTTCAAGTGTTGAATAAATTTCTTTATTTTCATAGAAATCAAGAAATTTTATGCGTTTTTGCAATTTTTCGAATACAATTTTTAGAATCATAATCTTAATTGGAAACATTATTTCTGTAATCATATTATTAGATTTACAACACAATGCAAACTATCAAACATTACAATTTTCTCGCCCACTCAAACAAATAAGTCACCTATTATCATGTAGGCAGGTGAGGTCAGCAAACATACCAATTCATACTCCTGGTACAAGAATAGGACGAACTATAATATGTAGTACCATGGATAATGTTTGACTATAAACTGTTTATTTTTTTTATTTGTTATGAAATTCATAGGTTTTGTTTTTGGGTAGCACTGTATATCTGCAGCTGGTACTTTGCAGAGAACAATTTCATTTCTAATGTAGTCGAACAACCTGATTTATAATACAAGAATGACCAACAGCTTTGTTTTCTTGAAGAAGAAACTCATAAATAAACAGCTTACCTTGTCTGAGGAAGCGACGTTTGATATAATTCTCTCCACTTTTTAAAACAGTTTGGGGTACCTTGCATGCACTCAAATATAATGTCCAAAAGTTGGGGTCTGAATTGAGCAATCTGGAAAATGAAAGTGACAGTAAAAACAAATATAATTATATCAAAAATATTTTGAAAATATGTATAAATTAATATAACTACAATTGCTATTATTGTCTCTAATAATGACATTGTTGAATTTTTTTCTAAAATGAAGCCAAATTTGATATTTAGTTCTGTTCAGGTTTAAGTAATTATAGAACAGGGGTAAGATCAAACCAGTAATGGTATCCGACATTCCTCTCAAACATAAATATCCCTCGATTCAAGGGACGAACCTGTGAACCCAATCTGAGTATTCCATTGCGAGATGTAGCATAATATGAATGATGATATTTTTATATTAGGTTCCTTTTGGTCAAAATCATGCATTACCATTTTATAAATAACATTCATAAATTTTGGTAACCAACCTCTTCAGGTGGAGTTTTCAGGAAAGTTTCGAACAACGCTACTTTCGTTTTTGCGTTTCCAGTTGCAATAAGACGAATAGGCCTGTGTTGTTCCTGCAATCTCTCACGATGTCTGGAACCGAAAAATATCAAAATTTTGAAATTTATTATTGGTACCTAATGAACGCCTAATGGCCCCAGAGAACAGTTCTATGGCCCCCTAGAGTGGCCCGAGGGCCTAGTTTGTGAAACTCTGGGAGGCATGCCACTTGCGTCAGTAAACTACTCCCCGATATTTTTAAACAAAAATATTACAGTACTCACATTGATGCAAGACCAGTCGTAGGATCGAAAGTCCATTTCATGATTTCCATGAATTTTTCTGCGTCTATTGAACCAGACAAACGAGCCTATATCAAAACAGATCAAAATTTCAATACAGTACATTCATTATATATATAGCATGGAGGAAAAATCTGATGTGACATACCACTGGATCTTTAGAAGAGAAGAGTAAATGTTCAAGATAATGTACAACATATGCAGCAACATTCTTTACTTTAATCATTGGCAACATCATGTTCAACCACACTAAAAATGAGAGATAATTTTTTATTAAAATGTCCAAGACTGTAATCAAAATTGGCACTTCGTTATAAAATTTAATGCATCTATTCTATTGTGGAAGATGGTTAATTTCAGTGCTTCGAATGTTCATTATTGCATATTCCAAGACTTATTTGGAACTTATATAATATAAAAAAGCCTGCACAAACATCGTGGTTTCGATGCTTAGATGTTAAAGTGTTAGTTAGAATTGAAGGTGTTGGTGTCACCTAATACACATCTCAGGTTTTAAATATGATAAGCAATATCGAACCAAAAATATTCCAGTGCGTCTAAAAATGGTAGCTTATATCGCAAAATAAAAGATGTAATTTCAAATGCAACAAAATCGACATTAAATATTATTAAGATAATTTGCTTAGTAAAGCAGGGATGTGTACAATCATATGATTACTAGAATGCCAAGAACCGGACCATATAGATTTATACTATGGTTGAATTGCAAAATAGACAATTAAAAATAAATAGAAATAATTTATCAGTAAATATCTACGTAACAAATCATTTCAGATAAAATAAGAGTTAGCCAATTTTTATCAATAATATTCTTGGATAAAAAAAACCGACCTTTCATTCCACATTGAGGATCATTAGTGCCAACTTGTCCTAGAGCCCACATATAAGCAAGACACCTGAATATAGAGATAAGGCTTGTGTGACATTTAATGAAATTTAATAAAAAAATAAAAAAGGCAGTAGGTAATATATAACAACAGAAAATTTCACCTTGCAAAAAACACATTGCAACCTTGTTAACATATTAAAAATATTTCTGAAAAATTTTAAATTATTTACCTTTTTGGAGTATTTACCATCGCTGTCATTTTCTCCACTTCTCTCTGATATTTTGGGGGGATGCAAACCTTTGGTGCTCCGTGTGCCAAGACTTGAATACAGAGACGATAACCCCATGTTGGCTGATCTGAAAGTGTGATAAGACAATAATTCTACTTTTCCTTATTTGTAAAATAAAAAATATAGTAGACCTATCTAATATTTATGGAACCCATTCATGCACAAAGCCAAGTTATGCTTCAAGGCCAATTTAAAAAGAAAATCCAGATCAATTAATGACGATCAAGTTTTTTTATATTACGCTTGTCATGCCTTTTGCCCTGAACAAGGCTCCAAACAAGTAGACACAGTTATCTCACAATATGTAAGGAGTTACTTTTATTTGAAATGGACAGAATCTTCACGGTTCGGCAGTGCCACATAATTTTTTACACCCTGGGTAAAATGCAGAGGCATTGGATTAATTGGAACTTTAGATGTTAATATAAGATGCCAACACAATTAAATTTACCAATTTAACCGCCAGGCTAAATTATTGTTGTTGTTGGGTGGACGAACCAATCAGTTTTAAGTTTTCAGTTTAAATGGAAGAAGTTGCTAGAGGCTTATTACTGTATATTGTTTTTAAAGTTTTTTTTGAGTACTATGGAACTCAATACTTCACTCAGAATTGTACTGTTTTATTTTAATTCATGGGAACACTTCCTAGGAAGTATGGAAACACTTTTATATAACCTTCGACCTTGGTGTTTATAAACAAAACTGTGTAAGTTTACACCTACACTCTGATGAAACAATCAAACACCCATTGTTTTTCATTCACAAATTATCTTCATTACAATTTACAGTCATGGTTCATTTGTGAAAACAATTCAAAAGTCGAGTTGTCACAATTAACTTTAGTGATCTGTGGCATATTTCGCAATGTAGTTATTACAAAACACTCGAGTCAAGTACTTTCAAAATGACACAGAATGTGAGATGAGCTATCAAACTTTACCACATATATAATAAAACAACAATAACATAGACAGAAGCCATTACATAGATATTTAATGAGGCGCAAAGGAAATCTAATAGTGTAGCATGAACAGAATGTTCAAATTGACAGGATTCGATATTCTATCAAATAACTTCATATTTAAATCGTCATTCTGAGCAATGCCTCATAATAAAACTAAAAAGGCCTTTAGTTTGTTTCTGGAACAGTGGAAAATAGAAAACGAATAAGTCATTGTTTAACAGCAAGTTCTGTGCATTTCCAAAACATACACAGGGATTACTCTATATATTGATAAGCACTAACATTACATTACAATAATATATTTGTGTTAGTATGCAATAAGACTCTTGAATCACATATCATGCAAGACAAATTTTTTTCTGAACAAGCATATATTATCAATTTGCCATCTGTGGCTTAGTATTATAGAATTTTTCTCCTTGTTTCAGATTAATTCAGTCATGTACAACAGTTAGAATTGCGAAATACAGGCATCATAAGACTTTACAAAGTTAGCATATTTTTGATAAAGTGAATGCACCTAAAGTATTATGTCATAACAATTGTCTCGTCTTACGTGGCATAAACTTGCAAGTGTTATTGCAAGTCAGTTCTAAAAATATCGACATTACAACATAAATCAACGAATTCCAAATAATCAATCAATGTTGGGAAACAGCAACATTTCATACATTTTTACAAAATTGCGATGAGTTTCTGAAATTTTTAGGAAGATAAAATTACAGAGGTATATTTTTTTCCAATATTTATTCTATCATTTTACCAATTATTATTAATGACAAAATAAGACAGACAATTATGAATATGCTAATACATGCACACCCAGTTTTAAAATAAACAATGGGTAATATAATAATAAAGCTGTTTCAAATTTTTCGAATTGATTATTAAAAATAATTTTTTAAATAAAACTCTTCTAACTCATTTGAAAAAAATTATAAACTCAAAATATTGAATATAATAGAATTTAAACCGAATTCATTTTTGACTAGCACTACTATAATTCTATTTCTGGGTATACCACCATATGGCCAACAAAATTCCAGGAAGCCATAGGATAATATAGTAATTCCCTGAAACTTAATACACTTTTATATAAGTGATATGATAAACATTAATTGAGGATTACAGATATTTATATAGCGAACAAGTGTGGCCCGTAGTTAAATAAGATAAAATAATACTACACAATGATATTGATTGCGACATTACTAGTTCTATGCCCCAAGGCTATATAATGCAATGCAGCGCAATATTATTCTGGTATTTTAATGAAATAGCTTGTTTTGTTAACGCTATAAACAACAGGAAACGTCTACGAAACTTTGGTATCGAGATTTCGTTTACATATCCTAATTTTTATTATCTAGCTTAATAAGTTATAAATTATTTTATTTGAATAATGAATTAATTGAAACGATTGTTTTAGATAATTTTGATCACACCAATGTCTTGAGCCTTCTATTAATGAACTAGTGTACTGAATAAATTAGATTTTAACTATGTTAGTGTCAAAGATTAAGCATCGCACACAGGAGTGTATCCAAGAATTTTTTAAAGGGAGGGGGGAGTTACTAATTGCCAAGTTAGACTGTATCAGCTAGCTGGTCCGACTGGAGGCTGGAAAACGTGGGTTTAGTTCGGTCTTACCAAAATAGAAGCTATCCATGTATCACTGGCTGATAATACAGTGCCATGTTAGAAGTGAAAATGTGAAAATTCACCAAAAAAAAGTGAAAAATTGTGAGTTTCAAAAACTTACTTACAATTTTACACAATCTGTCACATTACCTCTCCATTTAAATTGAAAATTTGAATTCTCAATGACATATACTAACCTCTAATCATGCAATCAATCATAGAACCAACACAATGTTCGAAAAGAAGTTGTCTAACAACATCAGAAGTTTCATCTACGAACAGTTTGTAAAGCATGGCGTATATTGGCTGAAAAGTAAAATTAAACGAATTTAAATTTAATAAACACAATATAAAGAAATAATATGAATTTAAGATTTTGTATGTGATAACAGTCATAGGACATGAATATGCATTATTAATAATAAAACTTCCAATTTTCTGAAATCAAAATTTGGGTTCTTAGGGCATTGGTATGCATAGTATGCATAGCCATCCAGTTTAAATAATAATAATAAATAGCCCAATATAGATTTTCTGACAGCCTCATCAAATGCCACTCAAATCGAAAAATGCGGGCAGAATTTAATTTATTATTTCTTTGTTGGATGAGTGTTTGTATGTGAATTGTTTGACAAGTCTGGAATCCAGAATCAGTTTGTTATAACTGAGGTTGTTGAAAAAGTATCTACCGGTAGGTTACAAAAAACTGTTTTTTTCACAACGACCATAACATTTTTATACTTCTTATAAATGTGTCTTCAAGTTTTGAGATAGTAGCAATCATACACACATACCTTTGAAACTTTGGATAGGGGATAATCCAAATCTTTTTCCAATAACGCCGGACTCTCATCGGCACAAGAAATTGTTTCATTGATGTCATGAGCAACAGCTTTTTGCCAAATCTGAAAGGCAAAAAAATTTATTATTGCGCAATAGCTATATCATACTAAAAATAAAAAAAGCAGTCTTTCAAGAGGTTATTTCATATGAAGCATTGGAGACAACCTTCAGTAAGCAATCATATTGAAAACATTCATGATACTAAAACAAAGTTTCATGTGCATGTAAAACATCTTGTGTTTAATGATATATACAAAATGACTCACAGTATGTGGTGCCCTTAGCTGATTTGCTTTCTCGTAAACAGCTACCACTGATACCTGCATATAAAAGTAGATTCACTCAGTTGCAAAAAAAAACATTGCTTTATATACTTTGTTAAATGGAATGAAAAATATATCAGGATATGGATATCATGTACACGACTTTACATGCAAGTTTGCTAAAAAGCAAAGACAAGCCCTGACATAAATGGGGGTTGGGGTGGGGGGGGGGGGTTAGGTGAGTGTTTGAAGAGATAGATAGAACAGCTAATCAGAGGAAAATTTGAAAAGGATACAAACACTGATCATTTCTTGGCCAAGCGTCAGTAAAGCATTGTTCATAATATTTTACGTTCATGTTGTTTTGAAGATTCAATATTATTAATAGGCATATTAATATGACAATTAGTACTGTACGTTTCATGAATCTTTTTACATGCATGCGCTTAAATACAAAGCAGATTTATTACACATAAATATCAGTAATTTGGTGTGTCAGTTTTGAACTTAAATTGCAGGAAAGAAATATGATATCTTACATCGTGAATTGCTTCAGCAAAGTTGTTATATTTGAATCTCGATGTAGATGAAGGTTTTTTGCTCTTTTTCTGTTTATTTTTGCCTGAAAAAACAAAGATAAATTTAAAATAATCGGTCAGTATTATCTAATAAGTCATAAAAAAAAAGTTGGTTATACTGGAAAGTGTGTGAACTCAAGAAATCATGTGGTACCTTTAGGAGATGATTGCGCATTTGATCGATCTTGTAAGGGAAGTTTTTTGTTTCCTCCACTGCCGCCTGATTTATCAGCGAAAGCATCAAACATTGATTTTGCAACTTTCAGAGGTTCAACTGCAAAAGAACAATAATGTAACTGTTAATGAAAAGGTGTAGTAAACTGGGTAAAGCAATTTCGAACCAGAAAAATTGTGGTCTTTCCAAATTATAGTAGCTTGTCCAGAGCATTGTTCGAAAAAGTAACAAATATAAAACAATTCTAAAACTTTAATATCTGTTCTGGACTACTGACTGTCTGACATTATGCTAAAAATTTACTAGTAAATTTACTTATACAAATAAAAGTGAAAAAACGATTATTTTACGAACCTTCCACGTCACTTTTTGGCATTTTATCCACCGAAACCTTTTTCTGTCCTTTCGCGCTTGTTTTTGTTTTCCCGACTTTTTCCCAACTTTGATTATTAGAAGACATGATTTTTGTTCACCACACAAAAACGATAATTTAAAATGATAATATATTTAAAACCTACCAAAAATGTACAATTTTTATTATAGAAAATGAAATACCATGAATTGAAATGAAAATAATATATGGCAGATACTACAATGATAATATATGAATGTGATTTTTTACAAAAACGATTCAAAAACAAATTTCACATTATCAGTGTGCATTTTTATGTGTGATGCAATATACCATGCTCGTAGGTTGAAGTGAAAAAAAAAATAACAGTAGATGCATGACATAATGCGAAACCCCTGAAGCAGTATTTCTCAAGTGGGCCCCCGAGGATTTTTGAAATGGGCAAAAATATATGACTAAAATTGAACCAAGATTTGGAAGTTCAATTTGACGAGCTGATAAATGAGCAAATGAATAAGTAGGATCAGTTTGGTCATTAACACTTTTACTGTATTGTTTATATAAATGATCAGAACATTTTTATGATAGTTGAAAATGTTTTTTTGACCCTGAGAATAGGCCACAAGAGAATAAAGGTTGTGAGAACCACTGTAATAAAAGAGTATAAACGGTACTAGTCTAAAACTCCTTCTTTGGCAAACATTTCAAATTTTGAGCTGTTAATTAAAATAGGGGAAGTTTTAAATCATATGATATCACATTCTTATGGTGTACTTTTATACTTTTCTCTCCAAATAAGGCTCTACAAAAGCAGTTACGGTAGTCGGTAACTGATATTCCAAATTTTATGACTACAATTTGATATACGGGTATATCATAATTCAATATACAGATAGCAAAATTCCGGTATCGGTAGAAATAACAATCGTACATGGCCGATCGCCGTAATGAAAGCAAAATATCTCAAAATTTAGGGCCCCAGGCAGTCTAGAGGAAACTTTAAAAAATAAAAAATTAAGTAACGATAATGACAATTCCAGTATCCAGTATTTAAACCACTGAAAATTCAATAGTAATCAGCGCAGAAGTTGAATGGAAACTGTTTTTTCCCCGAAACAATAAAATCTATATTCGGCCCATTTTATGTCAATAATTGATCTTAATTAGAAATTCCAAACATTCTGTATATTATTTGAAACTTGGTAATATTAATACAGTAAACATATTTATAGAAAAACAATCGCTGTATCTGAGAACTGAAATTCCTCAGGTAAGGATTATTTTTAAAGTGATGTACCAGTACCACTATGAAAGATCATATGAATTTGACAGTACATGCAATTTTAAAAGAGTGCAAGTTGTATATCATAGTGAAAATGGTGATATGAAATGACAATGATACAAACATAAAACAAAAATTTCTGAAATGGGTGATTTAATCAGAAAATACTAATTATATCAACGAAATCTTCAAATCCAATAATTTAGGCATTTTTTATCAACATTTTAAGGTTGTCTAGATATGATTTAAGTCTACTTCAATGTTTTATATAAACATAAATTTTAATTTAAAAATATATTTTAAAAGCTGAAAATCACATAATATCGGTACCCTGGGAAAAAATCTCAACTCAAATTGATTTATAAAAAAATTAAAAAAAAAAAATTTCTTCTAACATTATCATTATATAAATTTAGCTGAGCATAAGTTCTCAATAAAGGTCTGGAAATACCGCACTTGAATAAGGTCCTAACATACTGCAGCTAAAAATAAAATTTCTGCCAGTAAGCAGCATTGTAAACAACTGAACTTGGAAATAACATTTTTAGACTGTCCAATTAAATTCTGTTATCACATCTAGGATATGATTTGTTTATGTATGATTAATAAACCTAAAAGTTTCAACAAATCATGGCCTAGGACACTTTGCACAAAAGTCATGTACTCTTTAGAATATTTTCCAAATGATGTGAGTTCCGTATTTTTGGGTCTGTACTCTGTAGTACTATATAGATGTTAGTAAATAAGGAAAGACTGGTAGTATAATTACTGGATGTTACTACTCGATGCTAGACTGGTAAGTAGTATAATTATGACAATCATGAAATTTGGTTAGATTCTAGGTTTTCAAAAAATGACATGACCTAAACTCTGACGTTCGCTGTAATCGATGCTCAGTGAACCAAACAATTAGTAAACAATCAAAAATATTAAAAAAATATAGCGTAATGTGAGAATGGCAAGTATTTTCTCCAAAATGCAATTTAACTGATTCAGGTCAGTTATGTTTAAAAAAGTCACAAAAATACATGAATACAATACAAAAATAAATCAATAACAGCACCAAAATCATAATAAACAAAAACAAAAATTCATAATAGCACACAATTTGATCAGGAATAGGTTTATACCATAATTACGGTACTTCAAGTTCAAGAGAAACATTACAATGATGAGATCAATTTGTACAAATTATAAATAGGTATAACTTATAGATTGAAATCACAATGAGAATTATTGATTATCATATTTGGTCAATAACTAATAATTTAAGGTTCTTATTAATAATCAAACTTAAACAAAAATAGATTTTCAATAACAAAACGAGTTGAACATAGATGAATCATCTCATATCTATGAATCAGGCATAAACCAAATATATAGTAAAGAAGATAAAACAGTATCGAAAAAAATTCCTTTTTGAAAACAGCACCAGTTTTATTTAAATAGTAAATTTCATCAACTCTTCATAACTTCAAATGGTGGACCTGGTCGTTATAGTCACAATGTACATCTTTAATAAAAAATCAAGGCACCTGTTTTTGGGAGTTAAAAAATCACAATATGTATTAGGTAATTGTATTAAAAAATCCACTATTTTACAGAATATGAACGATGTAAACTAAAAATCTAAGAAAATAAAATTAAACTTGGTCATCAGATACTAAAATACAGATAAACTTGATAAATCTATCTATCAAAAAATGAGCTTTCTTATAAAAATTATGGAATAAAACACTAAAAAATTCTTATTTTATTATTCTAAAATAATATCTTTAATACAAAATAGTGAATACAGGTACCGGTATATTCTTAACTTGGTCATTTCCATAAAAAAATCCGAAAGCATTGCGAAACTATGAAATTTCCGATTGATTTTCCGTTTTAAAGTGTCGAAACATCCCAACAAAGACATGTGATTTTTGTTAAATTCAGATTAGTTCATGCTTGGCCAAATATCGCATCACTTTTTATCAGCAAATTTTTCCAACTCATAATTAGCTTCAAAAAATGTTCAAGTTAATTAAAAAAAGAATAAAATTAAATGACGAGTACCAACTTGATATAAAAATGATATAATGTGTTTAACACCAAATGTATAAAGTTGTATCACATACAAAAATGTACCATCCACGCCATTCAGACATAGCAAAGTTAATTTTCCACAAGCTCAGGCTTTTCTCATAAACTTCAGTAATTCTCATATTAACATGTTGGCTCAAATCATTACAGACGCCACTGGTGACATATTCACTGGTGGTGAACTCCCCTTTTTCGCTTTTTTGGATCCTTTTTTGAGACTGAGATTTGGTAGTTTACTCACCGGTTGAGCATGTATGAGAGGGACTTCATTACTTGCGTATGGCGGGGGTGCTTCTTCATGAATGGTCTTGGATTTGGACGTGCTATGGTGACTACGATGACCAGTCGAGGATTGGTCAGTATCTTTGTGCCTGTGATGATGACTACTTGATGAACGTGATGAACGGTCATTTTCATCATATCTCGAACTGGTGTGGCGTGATTTCCTATCGCTATGTGAAGATTTGTGTGTGTGTGATGTATGATGTGACATGTGTGAATGTGCACGAGATCTTCTTCCGTCGCTTCTTGATGATTCTTTCTCGAAACCAGATTCGACAGCGAGTGTGTCATTTCCGTTTTCTTTTATAGTTGTAATTTCTTGTATATCGTCACCGGCTTCTTCATCGCTCTCAGCATTTTCGTTGTCAGCATTGCGACGCATCAATTTATTTGCCTTATCTCGAACATGGTTTGTCGCCTTTTCGACGCGATACTGCATGCGCATCCAAACTGTCGGTTTCGGCATTTCTCCTGGTTTATACATATCACGCTCGAATACTCTCCACGTTCTCCATGCGAAGAAGGTTGATACGAGATATGCGATGAGACCAAAAATCAAGAGTACGACAGCAAAAAGATGATTGGTGTAATACGAATTATTTCCAGCAAGAAGATTGAAATAATCGGAGCAATCATACGGCCTCTGAGCACAATAGGAGTTGAAATTTAGAGTTTGTGTAAATGACATTCCAGGCCTTAATCCATATTGATAGTATGAGGAATAAGCCGTGCCACCTGTTAAAACACTACCTCTGCTCATATCCCAACGCCACACATTTCCAGCTTCTAATGCCGCTGCTATCAACACCATAATCACCATTACCATATTGAAAATGAATTCAATTTTGGGCCAATTTTTATGGCTTTGGGATAAATGATATCCGCTCATAAACAGACAATACATGAAAATTGTTGAGAGCCAAACCCAAATGCTAAGAAGCATTACCACATGAAACGGCCATGTAATGCCTTCCATGACAAAGATTGGTCTCCAGTACGGAGATGCAGCAACCATGATCCACGCTAATCCTATAATGCATATCTGAACAACTTTGCAAATACCTTGCAAGGATCGTGCATAGTTACAGTCACAGGTACATCCAAGAGCATTGGTTCGCCTTCTTCTAGTCCTGTATTGAGGAGGAGGACCATCTCGCCTCTCCATTCTGGCGATTTTACGCAAATATTAGGTGTGGCACTAACTTTATATCATAAATTCTTACTAAAATATAATAAAAAATTATACCGCTATATAAGTATATACCAGTTTGAGGGGCATTTTGATGACACATTGGTAACTATCAATAAAAGTAAGTTTATTTCCATTACCAATAATGACTTCAAGAACAAATGAAAAACGAAGGTGATATCCTGTAAAGAGACATAAGTTGAAACTGTAAATTTCAGTTCGGGATGCTTAATTACAGAGAGAACATTGAAGAGATGGGAGAATGATATTTAATTGAAATGCTCCAGTTCAGTAGTTTAAAGATACTACAGTACAGCACACAATTCTGCCATTCCGAGAATAGCCCCCATATAAAAGACATCAATCAATCATAACAGTGAATGGAAACCTCTCCTTCTCCAGACAGTCTGGGCCTTCATATTCGCATAAATCAGCAAACCTGCATTGCGCAATACAATGAAACTAAGAGCAATCCTAAAACGCCACAAAAGGATTCCTCGAAAAAAACTAATCGAATTAACTGAAGGAAAATATTTTTCACCGTAGCACGCATTTTTGGTCACATTGACGCATGTTGCAATTGACTGAAATTATTACAGAGACAAGCTTGGTCTCCTGTTTGTTTTATTAAACCCAATGTGGGGACATCTTGGAATCGGAGAGCGCAGCAAAATCCCACAATTACCCTATCTAATCTAATTCTAGAAGTGTCAACAAGGCAAGATTCAGCTATTTCAGTCTGTCAGGGGTCTTACTACTTACTGAATATAGCGCGAAACACCACAAAGAGCGCAAAACAGAGGAAAACAGCGCGAAACGGAAGGAAACCAGCGCAAAACAGAGGAAAACAGTGCAAAACAGGAGACGCAGTCATTACCACCTCCTGCCACGAAAGAACCATGGCGCCTCTCGCCAAGGTTTTACGACGCTATCTCCGGTATATTTACAAGGTTATGTACCGGATTATAGGTCATCATGCGAAATTTTATCTACCTTTTTGGTGCTCCAGAAGTATGTGCAGCAATATGTCGCACAACCTGAATCCGCAACACACACACATACTATTTTCAGGTTGTGCGCCATCTTGGTGCACATACTTCTGGAGGTCCCTTTTTACCTAACCCTAAAGCCAACCATATCCATATGGAAAATGTTTTAAATTATGGTACCCAAAATGTGTCACCAGCAGGGGCAAACCTGCCATTACAGCATTACTGGCTACATACGTTGGTTTGTGTTTTTAATTTGCTGCCGTGGTACTCCAACTCAAAACAAGGTGCCCCGAACTTATTGCAAATTTTTTTTCTGCTTCACACTGTTTACTTCTGTTTTGCGCTCTTTCGCGCTGTTTCCCCACTGTTTTGCGATGTTTCCCTCTGTTTTGCGCTCTTTGCGGTGTTTCGCGCTGTATTCAGTAAGTAGTAAGACCGGTCTGTCAGTACCGTAGTCTATTTCTTACTTTTTTAGTTTAAGATAGATAGATTTTATTTTGATTCATTGGCAAAAAATAAAACAATACACAAAAACTAAGTTCTTTAATTTTTCTTCTTATACCGGTACTGATTCGATACAAAAAACCCTAATATGCAAATTCTATTTGGCATCGGAATTTATTTGGCAAAAAAGGACCGGTACCGGTACCGTACCGTACCGTACTATTCTGTCAATTGTCATTGCCTCACCTCAAATTTAATCTGTTTATTTCAGTATTTGATTCTGTTCAACCTAGCTTCAGTCAGTAAAAAAGTTGAACAAACATTTGGTGATATAGGTCTGAGCTATGAGTCTCATTTACTCTAGTACGGTACCGGTACCAGTACCTGATAAAAGGGATAAATATGCAAATCCTATCCTAAAAGACTACCGGTAGGTACCGTACCGTACAGTTAGCCTATTCCCAGCTAAACCAACGCATTCCCTTTTTCTTTTTCCCAAATAGTCTATATTCCAATGCCAAACGGAATTTTCGTATACAAATTTAGTATAGTCGAATTAGTTGCCCCAATTTCCAACACATTCCCGATGTACAAAAAATGTACGTAAAAATAAATTCGAATTTTTTTTTCAGGCAAAACCTACAGCAACATTACCAAGTGAACGTGAGCTACGTCATGTGAGCCTTCTAAATTGCTCATTATTGCTGCCATGTGACGAGTCACTTTGGTGACGACAACGTTGCATCAATGACATTAAACAACATGATAGGCAACTCTGACGTCACTCCATAAGACTACAGGCAAAACATTGTATTTCATGATACGCTCCAATGCACATATTTCTCGTCGCCTTTCGCGTCCGTTTTCCGCTCGCTTTTGCTACTCGGCGTCTTTTTTACGTGTAGTACCTGCCTTTTTGCGCCTGTAACGAAACAAAATAATCTCTATATCTAAGAAGTTTTGCTTACTTGGAAAGCTGGAATAACAGGCAAGCTGTAAAGAGCAATTCTGGACATCATAGATGTTTTTTTTTTATCAGAGAAGATTACAAACGCGATAGCGGAAAGATTTGTGTGGAACATTTTGCAGATAATGACAAAGTTCAAAGTTAGTAATTTTAATGTTTGCGCTTAATCATTGAAATTTCATTTAAAGAGGGTGTCATACAAAACTGTGCTGCGATACAATTCCATAACACAAAGTTTGCACCTATCGAACTTGCTTTTGTAGGTGAATTTATTAGACATATTACATATTCAGTTAATCGTAGGTAACATTGCTGGTACATAATGCATCATAGAGGTTTGTTTAAATTTAGGAAATTAGCTCATAGCCCACTAATTAATATTATCTTCTATGCAGGAGGTTGCAGGGCTGAATTCAACTTGCAGCCTTACCGATCACCTGACGATGCTCATTTAGTTTGGCTCGAGCAAGTCTCCTTGAAATGCTTGTGTGGATGGAAACTACCTATATTTTTTGCCTTCCTCCGATTTTAGACAAATTTATTCTGAGGGATTTCGCATATAATTCTCACTGATTGTTGGCTGTTTATAATTCCTATTGATTGTGAATTCTGATTATAACAATGAGTTGAAAATTTTTTTACCTAATTTACTGGCACCTTTTTCTTGTCAATACTCCAAGCTGAGGTAATAAACATGACAATACATTTATGTCATCTGGAAGCAAAATATGCACACTAATTTTTAGTTTGGCACATTGAGATAATACATCATGACAGAAAATACAAGTTAAAGATATGTATGACCATCACATGGTAATTAAAATTAAAAAAAATTAATAGGGGCTGTGGAGTATGGAAAGTTCAAGACAAAGAAAAAGACAAATGTTCATAGCTCATGAACTCTCAATTTTGCCTCCATTGCTTTGTGAAGGCCAATATATTTCGAGTGGCTGAATTGGTTTACCTTTATGATAGCAACGATTTTGTATTTAATATAGCGAGATTATTTCAATTTAATTGAAGTGATATAATCTCCCAAAGCAATGCTTGAATCGTTTAGAATAGATCAGTGGTGTCAAACTCATGGGTTTTCGAGAGCCGCATTGCATTTTGAAAATTGTAAAAAGAGCCGCAAACAGTTTTTGATAATGTATACTTAAAAGATATTTTTAAGATAGTTTTAGTTTGTGACATATATTGTGATGCAACTAAACAGTTGGATTAAGTTTTATTATTTTCTTCAATTTCAAATGCAATTACATATTAATATTTGCATTCCACTATTATTGCAACATTTGCAAGTTACAGTATTTATTATAAAAAATCATAAAATTCTATGTACAACCATCAAAATCATTTTTGAACAAGCTTTGAATAAGGAAAGAATGATACATACACTAAAAATAACTTAAGCTAAATATATGAACCTAAAATTAACAAAAATACTACAGTATAAACTCAATGTTTTAATAATTACATTTGTCCTGGCGTTTGGCATCTTTTTTGTGTCACCAGCATACTAAGGCCAGTCTGAAATGATTTTATAGTACCAACTCTAACTAACGAGGCCACATGATCATGGGTTTATCTGGATCTTTACGAATGTTGAATTAATTCCAGTAATGCAAAAAAGTTACTTTTATCATTTCATGTATAGATCAGTAAAAAAACAAATGACAGATTTTTTCGACAAGACATTTCGCACTACATTGCGTGGCATAGGATTGCTTGAATTATTATTGATATTGATTTTTAGTAACTAAGTCGTTGTATAATTATATTAATATACAAACACATGGAAATTTTCTGTTCGAAGTTGGTCTTCGAATTTGTCATATTGACTGCTGAGCTTATTGTGTTTTTTGATTGTATTGATGGAAATATGACAAATTAAACAATGTGCTTCAGAATTTTGTGAAGAGCAGAAATGTTACAACTCCCATTTTCTTCGAAAATGCCACCTTCTTCATGTACTTTGCGTTTAATTTAATTACTCAAGTGTTTTATTCAAGTATTCTTTTGCTAGCTTGATGTGTATTCTTAATTGGGTCAAAATGTGGACAAAAAAAATCAATATTCCAAAACTACTTTCAGTAAATTGTTTTCTGTGTGAATAATCAATTTTACTTTAGAAGGTTTGAAAAATCTATTACATTTAGATAAAAAAAAAACTTCCAAAATACTATTACAATTATTGTTAATCGAGGGCCGCACTGGAAGTTCTCTAGGGCCGCGAGTTTGAGATCCCTGGTCTAGATTGAAGTTGTTCAAAAAATATATATATGATAGTATTTTATCATGAATGATGATTATACCCCTTCCGGAATTTCTTCTATAGTACTACCAAAAGTTGATGAACCAAATATAACACAGGTGCAGTGAGGTACCCGTAATCCTCATTTCCAAAGCTGTTTTAAGTATGTCTGGCGTGTTTTGTGCCTTTTTACAAATAAGGCCGCTTAAGCAATCTTACGCTTTGGAATTTTTAGTTATTTTCCTCAAGCCCTGCAGGATGTGGGGGCCATACACAACTCTACCGGAGGGTCAAATGTCTTTGCATGCCTCCATAGGTTGTTTTTCTATTGCAAATTTCTGTTTTCAATTGCATTATATTTCTTGTAATCACACTGTCACTGATATGTCGCCAGACTT